AAAATGCAATTCAAATGGGAGACAGTGTCTTTTACCGTGTTGACACTTAATTGCTCTCCTTGAACATTTGGCATCAACTCCATCGGGTTCGACGCAAAGCAAATAAAGCTAGTGTTTCATATTTGCAATATAATCTTCAATGTACTCTTCCTTTGATTAATAAATTGGGCTGATGTAATATGTTGACAGTTCTCTTGACGTCATTGTTGTTAATTCTCTTGATGTCATTTTGTAAAGAAAAAATGATGCAGTCGATGTTGATCTTCTCGTGATAGGTAAATCTTTCTCTTGTGATGCATGACTCCTCCTCTCGTGATGCATGAATGTCTTTCCGCGGTGCATGAATCTTTTTCTTGCCATGCATGAATTTTTCTCGCGATGCATGAATTCCTTCTCTTGCTATGCATGACTTTTCCTCTTGCTATGCATGACCTCTTTCTCTTGCAATGTATGATTTCTTCCTCTTGCAATGCATGATTCCCTTCTCTTGCTATGCATGACTTTTTTTTCCCGCGATGCATGACATTTTTCCTCTTGCAATGCATGATTTCCTTCTCTTGCCATGCGTGACTTCTTTTTCCCGCGATGCATGACTTCTTTCTCTTGCTATGCATGAATCTTTTCCCTGCGATGCACGAATCTCTTCTTGCAATGCATGAGACTCTTCTTCTATGCATGACTTCTCCACGATGCATGATTTCTCTACGATGCATGATTTATCTCTCTGTTGTGCATGGCTTCCTCTTTCTATGCATGGATCTTTGATGATGCCTCCCTGATACTGAACGAAGATGATGCTTCACCCAGCAACATAAGTGATCTTCTGGGTATCTCTTGGACGGCGGTATCGTCTCAATCGACAATATAAATAAAAATGACCCTCGGAGTAGTGGTATCATCTTATTTTACAATACGATATAAATGACTCTCCGAGTAGTGGTATCGTCTAATTCGACAATACAATATAAATAACTTTCAGGGTAAGAATATTATCATATATGATAATATAATACAGATGAATATCTTCCAGGTGTCTTTAGTTGCTGGAAAGTAATAATATTTCTCTCTTTAAGGTTTTCATTTGTTCCATCTCCGAACATAATTGCATGTTCATTATGAACCTCGCCTTGCTGAGAATTTGAATAAAGTAATGCTACTCATATTCCCAATTCTTGGTATAAGAAGCATAAAATATTTCCTGCATCCACAGAAAAGTTGTCAATTTGGGAAGCTCTTCGCCCTTTTGACTTCTGCATATTCATTGAATGGAAGAATATGCTGATCTTGAAGCACCCTGTAGACCTACATCCATAGAAAAATTGTTAGTTTAAAAATGAACTGATCTGTGTTGATCTCTTCGATTGTCTGCTCCTTGCCTCCTATCTCCGGTTGATTTCTCCGACCTCCCGCTTTTTGATAGATAAGACAAAATATTTTCATGCAAAAATAATTGAAACATGAAAGAAATCTTTTAAGGAAAATAGATTTTCAAAAGTAATTGTTGGAAAAGGTCACTGTCAAGTGTCATGTCACGTCAAGCCTAATGAACGTTTTGAAGTTGATGTCCCGAGGTCTATCTGATTATTTGCTGGGAAGTATTCAAAGTTGCTCTAAACTGCCGATGAACCTTATTGAAATTCACAGTTAACTGTCTCGACGTATCTTTAACCGTTGGTGATCAAATCACGGAATTTTTGAGATCTTCTAAAAAATTCTATCCCAATTACAAATCTCAAAGTAACTTCGGTCTCGACTTTGTTAGAGAGATCTTCTTCTTGAGAATTTTTGAGTTCCTCTCAAAAATTCTGTCCCAGTTTCTATTGCAAAGAGAAATAGAAATCTTACGGGAAATATGACTGAGCCGTTGTGGCGCCTACGTATCCCGTTGAGGCAGGAATCAGGTCAAACGTAGTTTCCCCTCTCGAGGATTAACAAAAATAAGAAAAATACAAAGAAAGCGACCGAGGCCGAAATAGGCCGCCTACGTATCTCATTCTTGAGAATTCAGGTCGAACGTAGTTCAAATACAAAGAAATATTAAAAAGGGATAAATGAGTGACCGAGGCCGACATAGGCCGCCTACGTATCTCATTGTTGAGAATTCAGGTCAAACGTAGTTCATTACATAGGTATAGATTCTAAACAATGCAATTACAAGAAAATAGAACAATTACAAAGAAATTATAGGAACACAAACTGAAGCGTCACACATAGTATCTCTTGACAGCATCTGAGTTGATCGGTTTCATCCATTCGGTGCCATCCATCTCCGATAGGACCAAGGCATCTCCAGATAACACTTTACGAACCATGTAGGGTCCTTGCCAATTTGGTGCAAATTTCCCTTTGTACTCATCCTAATGAGGGAAAATGCGTTTAAGGACCAATTGACCGATTTCAAATATCCTGGAAATCGGAAACAGCAACCATTCTCTTCTCTGTCGATACAGTTGTCCATAACAAACAGCAACCATTCTCTTCTCATCAATCAATGTTAACTGATCAATTCGCTTGCGGACCCAATCAACATCACCTAATTCAGCTTCTTGGATGATTTTCAAGGAAGGTATTTCGACTTCGGCAGGTATAACTGCTTCTATTCCATATACTAACAAATATGGAGTAGCTCCAACTGATGTTCTGACAGTTGTTCGGTAACCCAACAAAGCATATGGTAACATCTCATGCCAACCTCTGTGATTATCAATCATTTTCCTCAAAATCTTCTTTATGTTCTTGTTGGCGGCTTCTACAGCTCCATTCATTTGGGGACGATAGGCAGTTGAGTTTCGGTGAGTAATCTTGAATTCTTCACATATCTCTCTCATCAAATGATTGTTGAGATTCGCTCCATTATCAGTAATGATGGATTCTGGTACTCCAAACCTACATATCAAATTGTTGCGAACAAAATCTGCTATAACCTTCTTGACCACCGACTTATATGAAGCTGTTTCCACCCACTTGGTGAAGTAGTTAATGGCAACCAAAATGAATCTGTGTCCGTTAGAGGCGGCTGGCTCTATTGGACCAATGACATCCGTGCCCCAAGCTACAAAAAGGCCAAGGTGAACTCATAGCATTAAGTTTGTGAGGTGGCACTCGAATCAAATCTCCATGCACTTGGCATTTATGACACTTCTGCACAAACTTGCAACAATCATGCTCCATAGTCATCCAAAAATAACCAGCTCGGAGGATCTTTCTTGCCAAAGTGAGCCCATTCATATGAGTACCACAAACTCCGACATGTATCTGGTCCAGAAGCTTTGCAGCTTCATTAGCATCAATGCATCTTAGAAGACCTAAATCTGGAGTCCTCCTGTAAAGGATTTCCCCACTTGCAAAGAAATTGAGGGCCATGCGGCGTATCGACTTCTTTTGGTTGAACGTTGCATTCTCAGGATAACTCCCGTCCTCTAAATACTTTTTTGATGTCAAAATATCAAGGTAAACCGTCTGGTTCCGCTTCGACGTGTGAACAATGAACCGACTGTTCTTTTACTTCTATATCCACTGGATCAATATAACTTGTATCTGGATGCTTAATCATTGACGCGATGGTGACAAGAGCATCGGCCAACTCATTCTGTGTCCTGGGGGTTTGCCTGAACTCGATCTTGCGAAATCTCTTGCACAACTTTTGTATATACTGCACATACGGTGTGATCTTTGGATTCTTCACGGCCCATTCACCTTGAACTTGGTGGATCAGCAAATCTGACTCTCCAATAACCAGCAACTCGTGAACATTCATATCAATTGCCATCTTCAGACCGAGAATGCAAGCTTCATACTCAGCCATGTTGTTCATGCAATCAAATCGGAGTTTAGCCACCATAGGATAGTGCTGACCGATTTCTGACACTAAAACCGCTCCGATTCCTTTCCCTTGATGATTCGCCGCTCTATCAAAGAACACTCTCCAACCAGGGTACGCTTCAGAAATATCTTCACCAACAAACGAAACTTCCTCATCGGGAAAATAAGTCTTGAGCGGTCCATACTCTTCATCAACTGGATTCTCCGCAAGATGATCAGCTAAGGCCTATGCTTTTATCGCCTTTTGAGTCACATACACAATGTCAAACTCACTCAAAGCATTTGCCATTTAGCCAACTTCCCGGTCGGCATTGCTTTCTGAAAAATATACTTCAGCGAGTCCATCCTGGAAATAATGTATGTGGTATAAGAAGACAAATAATGTCTCAACTTTTGAGCGATCCAAGTCAAAGCACAGCATGTTCTCTCTAACATAGTGTAACGAGCCTCATATGGAGTGAACTTTTTGCTCAAGTAATAAATGGCTCGCTCTTTCTTCCCGGCTTCGTCATGTTGACCAAGCATGCATCCTAATGCATTATTTGAGACCGACAAATATAGCAATAACAGACTCCCTTCTCGCGGAGGGACCAACACTGGTGGATTGGACAAATAGTTCTTGATGGCATCAAAAGCAGTTTGATATTCTCCGATCCACTTGGTCGAGGCATCTTTTTTCAATAACCTAAAGATGGGTTCACACACCACGGTGGATTGAGCTATGAACCGGCTGATGTAGTTCAACCTTCCCAAAAAACTCATTACCTCTTTCTTGGTCTTTGGAGGAGGTAATTCATGGATCGCCTTGATCTTGGAAGGGTCAAGCTCAATGCCTCTCCTGCTGACTATAAATCCCAACAACTTGCTAGCTGGCACTCCAAAAGCTCACTTGGCGGGATTTAACTTCAAATTATATCGGAGCAAGCGATCAAAGAACTTCCTCAAGTGAGTCAAGTGATTCGAACTCTCGCGGGACTTGATTATGACATCATCTACATATACCTCGATATCCTTGTGAATCATATCGTGAAAGATGGTCGTCATGGCCCTCATGTAAGTAGCACCGGCATTCTTGAGACCAAAAGGCATCACCCGATAATGATATACACCCCAAGGCGTGATGAAAGTTGTCTTTTCTGCATCTTCTTCGTCCATCAGGATCTGGTGGTAACCCGCATAACAATCCACAAATGACTGCATCTCATGCTTAGCGCAGTTATCAATGAGGATATGAATGTTTGGCAATGGAAAATTATCTTTCAGGCTAGCTTTGTTGAGATCTCTGTAGTCAACACAAATTCTAATTTTTCCGTCTTTCTTGGCAATTGGAACAACACTGGCTAACCAAGTCGGATATTACGTCACTTCCACTATTTGAGACTCGATTTGTTTTGTAATTTCCTATTTGATCTTCAAACTCAACTCAGGCTTGAACTTCTAAGTCTTTTGTTTTACTGGACTGAAATCTGGATTGATCGGCAACTTGTGGGACACCATATTCGTACTCAGTCCTGGCATGTCTTTATAAGACCAGGCAAATACATCAATATATTCCCTAAGCAAACGAACCAGGTCTCTTCTTTGAGCTTCAGTCAGATGGACACTGATTCTTACTTCTTTAACACATTCCTCATCCCCGAGATTCACAGTTTCGGTTTCTTCAAGATTTGGCTTGTGGTTATTCTCGAATTATCGAAACTACTCAGCAACATGTTCGGGTACCTCATTTTCTTTTTCATATTCCTCACACTCATCATCACCTGCCTCATTTCGTTCACTCGGTTTATGACATGACATGACATTGGCAGGTTTTAAATTAATATTACTGAAATCATAAACAAACAAAGTTACGAAAGTAAAATATAAAGAGATAAGTAAACAAACAAACTTTGATAAACGAGGCATTTCATTTAAATTGAAAGACAAGCACAAACTTTGGCCATGGTCGAAGGCCGTTTTACCTTTTTAAACATCACAAGGGGAATTTAAAGGTTTCAAACAAATAACAATTGCATAAATTGTGGGTCTCGGGCCTCTTCCGGACTACCACCAATTTTAAAACAAAAAAAAATACATGTCCTTTCTACCCAGATGAGCAGGAAATCAGGAGTGGTGTGGAGGTCCAGTTCTGCAATCGCTCCTCAGGTTCTGCATCACGAATGCCTGATATCCCAGCCTCTTCCTCGATGACCGCATCAATCTCCTCAAAAAGGCCCCAGTTCCTTCCTCGAGACCGCTGTTGATGGCATGCTCCCGCACCGGGAATGACTGGTACAGATGAGGAATTGGCCTGGTCAATGCTTCATCAACACTCTTGTTCTTCATCTCTGTTTCGTCAGCATCTGTGGGGACAAACCCCAAACCAAACTTTGCTCCTTTGGTGGGGATCTGAATAGGCTCGACAATCCCTTGAGAGTACTTTCCCGTTCCGAAACCTGGTTCAAAACCATTCTGGAGCATGACAGTAGCAATTATCTTGTACACTGAGGGTATAAGAGGCTGTGGAGCCAAGTCATCACCAGTGGCATTTACCAGCTCCACCGTGTAGAAATCACAACCTCGAGAGACATCGTCAACGATCGGTGCACACCCATTGGAATGGCTCCCTTCACCATAAATGACCAATTCCTGGTCCTTCCAAACAAACTTCATTATTTGGTGAAGGGTAGACGACATAGCCCCAACCATATGAATGAACGGTCTTCCCAGAAGCAGGTTGTAACTGGTGTTTATATCCAACACCTGGAACTCGACGTTGAATTCCGCAGGACCCACCTGAATATCCAAGTTCACCGCACCCAATGTGTCTCTTTGCACTCCATCAAAAGCCCTCACATTAACTTGGTTCTGGTGAAGCTTTCCCAAATCAAATTTTAGCTGCCTCAGAGTCGAAAGTGGGCAAATATTAAGACCGGATCAGTCATTGACCAAGACGCAATTTATTATCTTATCCCGACACATAATGGTGACGTGCAGAGCTTTGTTGTGCATCCTGCCTTCAAAGGGCAACTCTTCATCACAAAAACTAATTTGGTGTCCTCGGATGACTTGGTTTATCATGGCTGCTAGATTGTCACTGTTAGTACCCACAGGCACATAAGTATCATCCAAAGCTCTCATCAGAGCCTGCCTATGCAACTGCGAACTCATCAATAAGGCCCACACAGATATCTGAGCCGGCGTCTTCTCCAAATGCTTCACAATTGAATAATCTTTCGGCTGCATTTTCCTCCAGAAATCTTCGATTTCAGCTTCACTAATCGACCTTTTAGTCTGATGCTTTTTGTTGACACCCAATTTTGACCCTCCACAATATAAATTAATCATTTCGAGCTTCTCCAATTTCAAACGATTTAAAATTATTAGTTTTATAAAATTTCTAAAAAGATTTAATAATAATAAAAATAAATAAATAATAATAGTAATATAGTTTGCAGGATTTTTAAATAGTTTGTCACTTTTCATAAATCTTAGATGATATATATGTTTTACATAATTATGTATATAATTAGTACTCCCTCTGTCCCAATTTATATGATTTTTAATAATAAATATGTATATTTTTGCAATCACGCTATTTCATAAATATTTGAAAATCATCACAAAAGATTTTACATTTTGATTAAATATTTTATTAATTCACTTTAAGTTATAGCTATAATTTCGAGTTAATTAGTTTTGTAATTGAATCAATTAGTTTATAATTAAGTTAATTATTTTTTATTTCGTTAAGATTAAGAAGCTCATTAATTAATTTATATTAACTCATCTTATTTAAATTTTAATCAAATTCACCAATTAAATTCAATTTGACTAAGTTTTACCTTAAACCCATTTGAAACCAAACCTTGGGCCAAAATTCATTCCCAAAACAGGCCCAATACCACTTCCTCAACTTTCCAACTCTAGCAGCCCTCTCAAATACCTGCGACCCGGCCCAATTTCCTTCTCCAAAATAACCCAGAAACAAAAATACCCATTAAATACAATATCCACGCCTCCCCGACCCCACCCCATCTTCTTCACGCGTACCAGACGCGAACTAGCAGCGAATTCAACGAAAAATCCCAGCAAACCCGGAAAATCTCACCAAATCGCGGAGAATCCTGACAACGTCAACATCGGCAGCCTTGCCCATACGCCTGTGCTTTTTTTTTCTTCTTAATTTGAAGTAAGGATCAGTCTTTTCCTGGATTTTGAGAAATAATTGGTGGGTACAAATTTTTTTGAAATTGAAATTCTTCCTTTCTATTCGATTTCCCCCCTAATCGGTCCTAGTTCTTCTCCTATAAATATCGGTTGTTTTCACGGTTGAAGGAGGAGATTTTTGGAGTTTAGTTCTGAGACAATAGTCACTCACACACTTGAAAATTTCATATCTAACTTCCCGAATCTATGCTACGAGAGGATCGACGCTTGGATTTTCTTAGTTTGCCGTCCTTATTCGAAGTTCGTGGTAAAGGAATCGTTGCTCTCAAACTTGTTGTCGTCCAGTCGCTGCTTCGAGAGAGGTAAAAACTCTTTCTAAATCTCATTTTGGA